CGGCGGAGCGACAACCTGACGCATATGGATTGGCCATCACCCAGCCGCACACCCGTACAGTGGGCCCTCGAAAGGGGAAGCTAATTAGGTTGAGATTCTTCCTGCCCGAAGCAACCCAAGGAAAGTAGCTACAAGGCCATTACATTGGGTGGGTTTCCCACATGACGGCAATTTCACTTTCCTAATTAGAAATGACTTAAAACTTGTTTTTAAACTAATGAATATGCCAAAGGCTTAAGAGAAGGAAAGTAGAAGGTAAATTCGAGGTAGACACCTTCAGTGTTTAATTCAGAACTGAATTTGATGGATTGGAATCTTCGCATAGCCCAGTAAATCGCAACTAATAACTTTCCTCTCTTCAAATTTCCCTCTTCGGGAGTTTTCACTGTTCCCTCATGAATGAAAGTGGTTAATGTTAACGGGACACTGGCATATGCGTTGTCGGTAAAATAAATAATAACCTCCAGGGAATCACCAAGGGAGTAATCAAGGGGAGCTTCTCGCAGAACCCTTCACAGCTCGTACCCTGGCATTGTGTCATTTCCGCTTCTTGCCTAATTTCGAAGCATTTCCGTTTAATTGGATATTTCGCTTAACAATCATGATAAATGTGGGAAGGGTCAGTGCTGGGTAGCGACCAATCTACCTACCGAGTCCATCCAAAACATTTCCATACGCACGTGTTTGTTTAGTAAATTCTGTTTTCCTAGGAAAGTATCTCTGTCCCCTCCCCCTGGCTTCCAGCCCACTTGAGCGGACTTTGTCCGCTCTTATCGATGTTTGTCTAGTTTATGTGCCGCGTTCATGTTGTTTTTGGAATCATTCCGGCGTTTTGTTTGCCTGCAACACGTAGGGCCAACAGAAAAAGAAGAACAACAACGACAACCGAAGAGGAGGACGTCAAGCTGAGCTCGAAAAAACCAAATGCGACATGGCCACGACTCGAATTTCCTTAGACAATCACCGTGGTGCAAGATCTCCAAGATGCCAGCTTGGAGGGGAACCAAATATCGAAAACGATATGATAATTGTAATCCGAGCGAGGGATGATATATTACCTGGGTGTTTGATGGCGGCTTATGGCGAGGGCTAAAAGGGAAAGTGAGTATGTCGATGGGACAGCTGCAGGCAGTTTAACAGGTTGGGAAATGCGACATAATAACTGCATTAAGGAAAATCAATCAAATATTATTAGAACTAAGAATAATATCTGAACAGTTAAGTTAGAAAGTTAGCAGTCGAAGCAGAAGAACCTTCTGAATCTACTTCTGAGTCTACATAACACTCAGTTTGGACAAAAACCTAAAAGATAGAACCCCAGATAGGCAATATTTAAGGTCAGGAATTCGCTTTGGCCAGAAAGGTTCCTTAAACACTTCTTTAATGGTCACTAAACCAAGCCAAAACTGGGCAGCCCACTAAATGTGGCGAGCCCCATTACGGATCTTATCTGCAGGCCCTTAGCAGAAACATGAAACATTCCGAGTGCTCTTATCGCGCTCCTTGGCTCCACAACTTTGGCCATTCCACTGTGCAGCAAATGAAAAGTTTTTGGGGGTTGAAAGCGGGCGGAAGACCAAAGGGAAGAGGTCGGAAAATTTCTGGCAAAGCAAATGCCTAATAGACATTAGTCCAGAGACCTGATTGCTTAGGTAAGTCTGGCTTTTAGCAGGGGTTCCATACTCTTCTTTTCCCTTGGAATATGCATAAAGTTTTTTGTGACGAGGTTTATCATAAATATTTCACAGTAGTTAATAATATATATATTAATAACAAGTTTGAATGCTGCTGTTAGATTACTTTACTTTCTTAAATCTTTGAGACAAAACTCATTTACGTTAATTTATTGATAATTTTTTTAATTTTATGTTTTCTGTGTTTCTAAGCACTCAGGATCAGGTAACTTTACTCTATGACTATGACTTTTTACCAACGAAATTCTTGAAATAATGCAATATCATATTACCTACAAAGTTTAATGATAATTCATAAAAACCGTAACTAAGAAACGATAAGCAGCTTAAGGGGATAGAAAACCCAAATTGGTTCAGAAATGAAATTTGAAACCCCACAAAATCGCTTACAAATTTCTATTTGCAACTTCAAGGGTATTTGAGAGGTCGTGAAACGGAGAAAGGCGTTCTCCCTCGCTGTGCTGTTAGTGTTGCATTGCAAGTGGAAATTTTCAGTTTTGCAGCAATTTAGTTTAATTTCTTTTCGGCTGCCGCACGTCTCGAACATAACGAGCGTGGTTAATTGTATGCCACATGCATAAGGCCGAGTCGCTATCCTGACAAGAGGGAGACACGTAGAGTCTGCCCCTGGCGACCTTCCTGCCCCTGTCCCTCCCCCTGGAATCCACCCCGTCCACCCCCTTCAAGCTCTGTTGATGTGGCGCGGCCCGCGTTTTGTTCCAGTCTGTGGCAAATGTGTCATTAGGCATGTTTCATGACCCTTTGTCATGCACAAATAATTATAATTTAATACACTTGCCAGCAGGTTGACGAACCGAGAGGGGTGAGTCGTGAAAGGGAGGGTAACCGGAGGGTTAGTTTAGATTTTAAGATAGCATTTTTCCTGAATAACCCTATTTAGGCGATTGCAATCTCAGTTTTATTGAGGCTAAAAACAGGAGATGACTTAAGTTAATTATAATAGCTAGTATTACGAGCAGAAATGAACCTGCTTTGAAATTTGAATGCTGTAACCTGACAATAAAGCAGGTTTATTTTCATTACCTAAAACTAAGATTATTCTAATTCTGAGCCTCCCTTCTTTAGATTTTATTTCATTTTATTTTTCAGAATTCTTTCACGATTAAACCTGAAATTGAAACAGAAAATAATTCAATAATTCACTGCCGAACCTTCCAGCTTGGCAGACCCGAATCAGTGTTAATCCTGCCTTCAAAGGGACTTTCCCTCACCTTTTTGAATCCCCGCCTCTCCCCGCAGTTTCCTCTTCGCATTCCAAAGCTGTCGCAGTGTGTTGTACTTTACTTTGTGCCACATAATTGCCAACAATTTGCTGAAGTTGCCAGCTGAAGAGCGCTCCGCCTGGCAATTACCAAAGGAGCAGGATGTGTTTTAGTGTCGCCCAGCTCCATGGAGACGAAGCCCCCATTTGGGCCCTCTCAACCAGCCGCCCATCTTGTCGCATCTAATTTGCACAGCTCGCGGCTAAATATGAAAAGTTTGTCTTGGCTAATTTGCTTTATGGCATTTTAATTGTATTTGCCCAGCCTGGGAAATTGCTGACTGTCGACGGCGACTGCCGACTACTGATTGTCGGCTTCGTTGCTGAAAATTTAATGAGCTTATGAATTTGAGATGGATGTTTGCCCACTCAAAGCACCTGAGAGGGGAGGGGAGCAGTCCCAGGAAGATAGTTCCGCGCCTTTGTCGCTGATAACCGCATTAGGCAATTATCGATAATTCATGAAAGTAATTGAACGCCACATCGCATGTGGCATGCGGATGTCTGGCCCCCGTGGAAGTTTGTATCTGTATCTGCGAGTATGTATGCCGGCTGAAAACACAAATGAGCACAGCAGGGCTCGCCGAGTGCAGATATAATTCTTATAAATAGACAACAACAGCGGCCCTTGTCGACAGTTGGCAATCATCATCGTCAACCAACTAGGCAAACATAAACAAGGGCCAAGACGGGCCAACTAAGTTGCCGAAGCCAGCAATACCCTGCGGTTTTCCCGGGAAACTCTCCTGATGGGGCTATGTTGATATCCCCTGTGGGTATACTAAAATGAAAATGCTGCTTAAAGTGTTGAACTCGTAAGTCCATCTAGGGGCCAAACCGTTTTCAGTCTTTGTATTACACATGAAGTTACTTAGTTTGGTAAGCTGCCTTTGAAAAACTTACAAATCTTTAGACTGGCTAGCTTTAGGTCATCACATCTATGAGACATTTAAAACACCCTGTGAATGGTCATATGAACGAGGTCCCTTGCACTCGGTCGACATCTACAATAGAATTTAACGCCATTGACTTAGTTTGCCGTGCTCCGACCTCCTAGTTTCCTCCCCCGGAGCACACCCACTCGCACTCCCACTCATGGCGAGACAGAGACAGATAGGGAACATGTCAATATTGGCAACAAAGCATTGTCATTAATGAAACCAAATAAAAACATTTAATGTTAGCTGGCATGGCAGAAGTGTACACACCAAATACCAAATACCAAATACAAAACTGTGTTCAGAATTTCGTGTATTTGCAGACACACGCAGCCGTACTATTTATTGTGTGGGTCTGTATTTGCCTGGAAAAGTTGTTTCACAAATAAATAAGCGCTTCGAAATGGAAACATTCGCTCCATTGCCCATAAATATTTGTTACCGCTTATGTTGATTCAAATGGTTCGGATTGCTGCCAGATAGATGCTTCCGAGGGGCGGAGATGATGTTTCGGCCCTGCTGTACCTTACCTTTTCTATTTCATAGCTGTATTAGGCAGATAATCGATGGACTTTCAATAAAATGTAATATGAACACTAATGAGAATGAGAAATATAATCAAATTTTTAATTTATCATTTATCAGAAAGTACAGCAATCTGTTCTTGTGATGCAAAATCTTGTCTTATTAAATGTTCTCATTTTTAAAAAGGGAGAAAGGTAACATATTCAAGTCGCCTTTAAACCATGCTTTTGAATTGACTATAAGTCAAGTCGATATGAGTTTCGAAAGGTACTTAAAGGGACTTAGAAATCGGAAAATATTCAACATAAATTTCCTGCTAATCCGCAATTTATGCAGCGCACACCTAACATCACATCTATCACTGCTATATTGATACATCATAGTGATCATCATTAAGAACAATGTTTTCGTAGTAGATTATAAGGGCAGAAGGTAATCATGGGCTTGGTAATCATCAATGCAGATCCCTTTATAAACCTTAATCTTAAACAGTTCCAAACAGGTTATTACGGAATACTTTATTTATATAATTCGATCGCTTTCAGCCTTTGTTAGATTTACTTTATTCAGCCTGCTGTGGATTTAAGAGCGTTTACTCCGATTCTTTTCACCGAGAGTGTTTCGTTTCTAGGTACTATCGGAAGTGGAGTGTTCCCACTGTCTGCCTTATAGGAATACCGAATCCTATAGCCCTCTGATCCGGTCTTATAGCTGAGCACCAGCAAGCCTTCATGCGGGGCAGGGAACATTTGTCGGATTTCTCCTTCAACTTCTGGGTTTCCCTCAGCATCTTCGGTCACCGATTCCCTTCGAAAAGCCGATCCATCTGGATGATTGATCCATAGCTGGTATCCCTTTCCATCGGCTGGTGTTGCCACAAAGAAACTGAAGCAGACCACAAGAATCCACTGGGAATTGCTACTCAATATCTGAGATACTCATGCTGTTCCTCAGACTCACCACTGATATCATTCTGGAAGACATGATGTTGTATTGACTGCCACCGAACTGCAACTACCTAAGAAGTGTCCAAGAGCTGAGATTATTCGACAAAGTGAAGCTGCCAAAACAAGTTTGGATGCAAAACAAAAAGCGGTAGAACCACATTAGAACGAGCAATCCGGGTAGGTGACTCGAATCTTTAATTACACCTCATGATGTGAGTTAGTCATGCACATCATATTTTATTCCCTTGCAGGGGTATTATAATAATTCTTTCTCAAAATGTATTAAATACATATCCCAGCCATTAATTATACGAATTTATTGCACTCCTCAATGACGTTCTCTCCTCGTGCTTAAAAATATATCTTATTAATTATTTTGACAGCCCGAAAGTGTTGACTGGGGACGCGGGCTCTTGGCTTTATTGGAGGTCGATCGAAGTGGGTTCTGTGAACGGCCTCTTTGATTTCTCGACTTCGGCTGGTGCCCCCAACCTGCCTTCCCTTCCACAATCTTATCGGAGTCCGGCACACACAGTCACCTGTTCGACGTCTGTTTTCCCCTTTTAGCGGCATGTATCTGCCTATCACTTACCACCTCAATTTTCCCGAAAAACCGAATGCATCTAATAAATAGGCGCACAATTAACAAGTTCCTAGTGATTTATGCCGACGTCGCCGGTTCGCTTGGCTTGGTTATGGATTGTTGTTGTTGGGTTGGGTTGGTCTGGTGTCTGGTCTGGTCGGGTGTTCGCCAGTGGAACTGGGACTGGGACCGGGATTTTATGGGCACCCCGGCCGTGCCACGGAACAATGCAAGAGATAATTTTTTACGAGCCACTCGCTGGGCTGCTCTGTGTGCTCGAAAGCCATATGTTCGGGATGGGAATTCGACAGGGAAAGGGCAGGTAGTCCGTGGATATATGGTCCGAGGTACGAGGTCCGAAGTCCGAGGTACCGGGACTCGGCGTCCCTTCCACGGGCCGCGTGTGCAATTAAACGATTTCGGGAAGGGCGTTGGGCATGCGCTCAGCCTTGACAGGGAATCTCATTAAAGCAGTAAAGTCAATAGAGCAGCTCTAAGATCTCCCTGAGACCCTGGAAGAAGGGTTGTCTTCGAGGGAAATTCAATTTAATTTCACTGCCCATAAAGAAGGGCCTTATTGATTATTCAATTCCTGACACTGAGAGGGAAAATGCCATCTTAAGCCGGTCAGCTTGTCAGTGGCTGAAAAAATCAATCCAAAAGACTTACCAAAATTAAATGATTCCTTGATTAAACTATATATAATATATTGAAGAAAATCAAGATAGCCCAAGCTAGAATGCTTAGCAATTGTTAGTTCTTCAATCTAAAGTTGAATCTATTAAAACGGAAAAGAAGAAGATATTAGTACACATTGCACCTTGATTTCGTTAGACATTTCCGGAGAATTTCAAGATATCCTTACAGTCAGGCGAATATTTTCTGTGTGCAGCGGAGAAGTTTCCCCGAGCCATCTGAGACAGTTGTCCAGGGAAAAGTTTTCTAATTGCTCCGCCTGCAAGTTTCGGCTCATAATTTCCAAGCTGCGGCGGCGATTGAACAAAGCAATATTTGCCCAAGTAATTTTCGGTTCAAAAAACTTTCCACGTCCTGCTCGAAAGTCGAGCGCTGAGATGGCAGAAAATGTTGCGCCAGAAAATGATTTCCCAGCCACGTACTCCGGCACGTTGCCAACTTTAATCTCTCGGGCTGATTCCGTTCCACTCGGCCCCGTTCCGCCCGCCCCCACTAATTTTCGTTTAAAAGCGGAATTTATGTGAGCTCAGCAGTTTCGCTCCTAATACGAAATCAAATAGAACTTTTCTCGCCGAGGCTGGGCCAGCTGAAAGCTGAAAGCCGAAAGCTGGAAGGAGAAATATATGCACGAGTATTTTCGCGAGGAGGATGCCTGAGGAGGCGGCATGAAAATCGTTTTGTTTGCCGGGCTCATCTTGATTTATGGTCAGGGGAAGTTCGCCCATTGGAGATGCCATTATTTTGCGTATTTATACAAATGCTTTCCCTCACACATCCCCATACGTGCCTCACCATAAATCAATAACTGAAATTTACACGCATATTTTGTGTTACGTGCTGGGTGGAAATTTATTAGATAAAGCTTTTCCGCCTCCTTTTGCTTCGCCTTCTGCTGAAAGGGGAGCGGAAAACTTTCTCCGATGGAAACTCGAATCTGTCGAATCATCGCTGCAATTCATTTTTCTTCATTAGACGTAATCTGGGGTTTCTACGGGTCATCTTTGGGGAGCAGAAAAAGCCAGTTAATTGCTGTCCAACCTCCCCTCTCCCCTCCCTGGGCAGATGTTCAATCAAAGACATTTGATCATCGCGCAGGAATGGAATCCTTAGAAGTCCCACATCAAAGCCATAATTTATGCGGTTGCTTCTCGGAATGGATAAAATGGGACTGTGGATGCGATGACAGGCCCAGAGACCTTGAAGCCTGAAGATACATATGCTCATGCGACTATACGCTGCACTCCGAGAACTCGGGGCAAGTGCACTTGAACGGTCTGCCCGGTCTGAAGGGCAGCCCTGGATCATCGGAAACAACGTCTACATCAGCGGGCCATTTGACACCCGACGAATTTTTAATTAAGGCAGCGGGATGAGACACACTGCTTCGATGGATTCTTAAGTTGAAATGAGGGAACTGACAATAGGACGGGAACAATATCACTTAAGATACAGAGGAGCTATCAAACTAAGAGATTCCTTTTACTTCAATGTTTTCATTTTACTTTAATGGATATGAGTACCGACTTGACTAGCAGGAACTTCGATTATCTAGTTTAGTACCTCAATCGGAAAGTTAGTCAACTCTTTAAATACAATGATAAATGAGTTAAGAACTGCTGACTGTTACATAAACTCACCCATATATTACGGTGCTAGAAATATAGCTATGGCCAGAGGCAGATATGCCAGATATGCGGGGAGAGAGAGCGGGAGATATATGGGCCTGTATATAGCGCAGCCCCAGAATGCCCATAAAAATTGTCCGCATGGTTGTTGCTACTGCAGTTGAAGGAAACAAAAACAACAACAAAAACAACAGAAAAAAAGAGAAAAAGAAGAAGAAGCATATAAACAACAATGTCATCAACATAATTGTATGTCAAGTGAGCGGCAGCGGAAAAACGATGAAATAGGGCCAGAGGCGGATGAAGACAATATTGTGAGGGGGCTCTGACCATTCTTCATGTTCTTCGATGTAAGCTTAACATAGCTGAGACCTTAGAATCTTCATACAAACTGTTTTTAAACACTTTTATGAAATGGAAACTAAGCTTGCCTTTTCGGAAAGACCTGTTACTACATATGAACCATATGATATGATATATCATCCATAATATATTCAAGTTGGTAAAAACTAAAAACTAATGAGGCAGAACCCCCGAAAACCCGCCACTGTGGCAAGGGCAGGGGCCTAAAGTAGGGAATTGAAGGGGCTCCCTGAGAACTATAAAAAGAAAAGGCTGGGTAAAAAAGCGTTGCCAGGAACCACTCGAACTCGAGACCATGACGAGACAATGCAATCAAAGGAGCCACCAGTCTGCTGGTGAATTTTCAGGGGTGGCAAGCTGTGGCGCAGTGCTGGTGCCCCTCCAATAGACAGTCAGTTGGGGCAATGAATGAATGACGAGTCGTGCATATGCAATATTAAGCCATCGCAAAACAATAGAGATGGGGCCCGAAGAAGGGGTAGGTGGTTCCTGCCGGTGCGGATGAACACACTCTTAATAAATTGGACAGCTGAAGTTCTGCTCGGCAATACATATTAATAATACCCATGGGAACTCGTTACTTAAAACCATTTTATCACTTAAATGTTAGTCCCTAGACTTTATTAATAATGTCATAAATCGAAACTAAATCTTATAAGTGAAATGCATTTGCAGATATCATATATGCTGTAAGTATAAAGCTTAAAGAATCTTTGTTAACCATTCAAAAAGTCTGCGAACTCATAGGGCATACAACATTCGCTGTGCTCATACTGTGTACTTACCCCTTTGAGGGGTTATCTCCTCCGAATGCGGCTCATATCGGATCATATGTACAATGTGCGGCTTAGACGATGCGGGTCGTCCGATGACAAAAACACGGATTTAGCTGCTGCTGCACCTAGCATTTAGCATTTTACCATTCACGTCAGCGGCATCATGAGGCGACAGCCTCATCATTGTCGTTTCCAATCTCTACTCTTGCCTTTCCCCTGCCCCTCGTCGTCATCGTCATCGTCGTCGTCGTCGTCGTCGTCGTCGTCATCACCAGCAGCAGCATCAGCAGCGTCAGTCGTCGTTGTTGTTGGTTTCTGTGTCATTGAAATGAAACGCCGGGCGACGCCTCTTGAGCGGAATTATTATTACCACTTATGTAGTCGCCATAGCCATCGCCATCGCCATCGCCATCGCCAGCAGAAGCAGCACAAACTGGCATTGTTTTCCCACTGCGAGGCTTGGTTTTGTTTGCTTTTTTTTATGTTTCGCTTTTCTCGCATCCGTGCACTGAGAAAAATCTCCTAAAATGGTCAAGATTTCCTTGTAAGTTGCCAGTTTATAAATACACTTGAACTGGTGACCTTTTCCTCTTCGAAATTTCGTAGGTTGAAGGTTTAATGTCTTTTTACATCCTTAAGGTTTCTGCTTTTTCTCATAACTGCCCACTGCAGAGAGATATATGTGACATATCGATAAGGATATGCACACATGTTTCTGCTTTAATCATTATTTTCCTACCTCAAATTTCAGACATTTCCGATTTACTCAGGCTAAATTGCTAACGACTTTTTCTCCCTGTATGTGCAACTTTGTGGCGCAGTGTTGTGAGCTGGCTACACTCATTTCCACATGAATGCATCAGCAGCAGCACCAGCAGCAGGGGGAATCGGAGGAGGGGCTTCCATGTGTGGCATACCACACGAAACTGTAGACCCATACCCATGCCCATTCCCGATCCAAACCCAAACCAAACCAACCGACCCGCCATAAACCGCAAGTCG